TGGCAGTGGCAAACTCAGGGACTGCCTGTACTGTAATAGAAACCAACAAGAAGGAAGAATGTGAACTTACCCATATTTTCCAAAGAGTGAGACTGTCGTTCCCCCAACTGGTACTGCTTTGCCAGGTCCATAGACATCCCATATGGTGAAGGCCACTTGAGCATTCCTTGGCAAATCTGGGTACTTGACCGGCAGTTTCAACCATTCATTCCAGCTGGAGAGAAAGGGATCCATTGTTAGTTGAGACCCTAATGGTTTTACTGGAGGACCAACAACATCCCAGCAAGGCAATTTGGGCTTGTGGAAGCTTGTTGGGAGTCTCTTCAAACAGCTTCCCCCAACCAAGATCCTAACAGATATTTAAGGAGTAATTTCCATCATTCTGGATCAGTAGTCCTGTTGGATGGGACTTGTTGGGTGCAAACGTCCAAAATAGCTGGATGACCTAGGGTTCCCTACTCTTTGCCAAGATGTATTCTCACGTATGTTGACCCTTGATCATTCAAGTCATTGAGGCCCCTTCTAAACTGTCCTTAAGGGCCCTTCCACACAGCCATATAAACCAGAATATCAAGGCAAATAATCCAAAATATCTACTTTGAACTGGGTTGAGTCTACACTGCCATATAATCCAGTTCAATGTGGATTTTATACAGCTGTGCGGAAGGAACCTATACCCCAGGATCTGATTATGGATTATGCGAGTCTCCAGTGAAAATAATCTGGGCTAAACAGATAATCTGGAATCGGATTCTGGGATCTACAGTGTAGAAGGAGCCTGAATTACATTAAGGAATCACCAGATTTCTAAGCACATTTGCACTAATTACATTCATTATGCCCTGCTTTTTCTCTCCACAAGGAGACCCAAGGCAACACTAAGAACATTGCAACCAAAGGAAGTGAAAGCAATTAAAAATCTGGTGGCAATAATAAATTATATTATATTATTAATTTATTAATTTATTTACCTTACTTATATACCACTGTTCTCAGCCCGAAGGCGACTCACAGAGGTTCACAACAAATACGAACAGCAAAAATTCAATGCTACAGTATAGAAACAGTTAACAACCTAACACATTACACAATTAATAAACAGTTACTACAATACCCATACACTCTTATCTCGTCATCAAAAACATGTTCCAGATTCGTCATCCATTGTTCCATTCCAGTGTTCATTAACCAATCATTGCACTAATTATTCGAACGCCTGCTCAAACAGCCAGGTCTTCACTTTTTTGCGGAATACCATTAGAGATGGTGCTAGTCTAATGTCCGTAGGAAGGGTGTTCCACAGCCAAGGAGCCACCACCGAGAAGGCCCTATCTCTCGTCCCCGCCAGTCGAGCTTGAGAAGCAGGCGGGATCGAGAGCAGGGTCTCCCCGGAAGATCTCAAAGTCCTGGTGGGTTCATAGGCAGAGATGCGGTCGGATAGGTATCTTGGGCCGGAACCGTTTAGGGCTTTAAAGGCCAACGCCAGCACTTTGAATTGAGCCCGGTAGCAGATCAGTAGCCAGTGGAGTTGGCGCAACAGGGGGGTTGTATGCTCCCTGCGCTCCGCTCCTGTTAAAATCATGGTTGCCGAGCGTTGGACTAGTTGGAGCTTCTGGGCCGTCTTCAAAGGCAACCCCACGTAGAGAGTGTTGCAGTACTCTAAACGGGATGTAACCAGAGCGTGGACTACCGTGGCCAAGTCAGACTTCCCAAGGTACGCACAAGCTTCCCTGGCGCACAAGGTACTTCCCTGGCGCACAAGCTTTAGCTGTTCAAATGCTCCCCTGGTCACCGCCAAAACCTGGGGCTCCAGGCTCAGCGATGAGTCCAGGGTCACACCCAAGCTGCGAACCTGCGTCTTCAGGGGGAGTGCGGCCCCATCCAGGACAGGCTGTAACCCTATGCCCTGTTCTGCCTTGCGACTGACCAGGAGGACCTCTGTCTTGTCTGGATTCAATTTCAATTTGTTCGCCCTCATCCAGACCGTCACAGCGGCCAAGCACCGGTTCAGGACCTGGACAGCCTCCTTAGTAGCAGGTGGAAAGGAGTGACAGAGTTGGACATCATCCGCGTACAGATGACACCGTACCCCGAAACTCCGGATGATCTCCCCCAGCGGCTTCATGTAGATGTTAAACAACATTAAGAATAAGAATTAAGAGTTATGCCCATAGTCACCCAATTATCACTCTTTTATCCCTTCTACACTGCCACAGAATCATAGCAGAGTTGGAAGAGACCTCATGAGCCATCCAGTCCAACCCCATTCTGCCAAGAAGCAGGACAATCGCATGCAAAGCACCCCCGACAGATGGCCATCTAGCCTTTGCTTAAAAGCCTGCAAAAAAAGAGCTTTCGCCACACTCCAGGGCAGAGAGTTCCACTGCAGAACAGCTCTCCTAATTTTCAGGCGGAATCTACTTTCCTGTAATTTGAAGCCACATCCCAGTCTCCAGGGCAACAGAAAACAAGCCTGCTTCCTCCTCCCTATCACATCCCCTCACATCTTGATACATGGCCCTCATCATGTTTCAGCATTCTCTTCTGAAGGCTAAACACACCCAGCTCTTTAAGCCGCTCCTCACAGGGCTTGTTCTCCAGACCCTTGAACATTTCAGTCTCCGTCCTCAGGACACAGTCCAGCTTGTCAACCTCTCCCTTTAATTTTGGTGCCCAGAATTGGACAGAGTATGATTCCAGGTGTGGTCTGACCAAGATAGAATAGAGGGGGAACATGATTTCCCTGGATCTGCACCATAGATCGATATAATCCAGATTATCAAAGCAGATAATCCATATTATCTGCTTTGAACTGGATTATCTGAGTCTTGTTGTTCATTCGTTCAGTCATCTCCGACTCTTCGTGACCTCATGGACCAGCCCACGCCAGAGCTCCCTGTCGGCCGTCACCACCCCCAGCTCCTTCAAGGTCAGTCCAGTCTACACTGCCATATAATCCAGTCCAAAGCAGATAATTGGGATTTTATATGGTAGTGCGGAAGGGACCTTAGTCTACAATATTGGAGGCAGGAACTTAGTACTGGATTCCTATTAGGTTGCGACCACCAGCATTCCTGAAAATCAGTATGCTGGTAATGGCTACTAGCCACTGCAATCCATTGGAGACTCACTGGCTTCCAATTGTGGTCCAAAACATATTCAGAGAAGGGACTTACTTCCACCTGGTGCTGAAGGCTTTGTAGGAGGTCCGGACAGGAAGTGCAAGGGGTTTCCCTTCTGCAAAGACTTGGCAGGTCACGTATAAGTCCGAGCAGGTCTCCTGGTACAGCCCCGAAAACCTCAGCATGGGATTTTCCAAAACCGCTTTGTAGCTCTTCTGCTCTCTTTTCCCCTCCAAGCTTCCACTAAAGGGAAAAGGTAAACAAAGCAAGTTTCCAAAAAGTCAAGATTGGCACACATTCATAGCTAAACAAATTCATCAGCTAAAGAAATAATTGCTTTCGTTCTCTCTGGAGGCATCTATACTGTGGAATTAATGTGGTTTGAGACCTTATAACTGCCCTGCCCCAACACTATGGAATTCTGGGAGTTGTAGTTTTACAAGGTCTTTAGCTTTGGGCTGTTGTAGGTTTTTTCGGGCAATATGGGCATGTTCTAGAGGCATTCTCTCCTGACATTTCGCCTGCATCTATGGCAAGCATCCTCAGAGGTAG